CTCATTCCTATTTTGGTGTCTTTCATTTTCGGGATTTTAGCCTTGATTAGGAAAGGGCCGGAGAAACATATATGTAGCATTCGGAGAAACATATATGTAGCATTTAGTCCGTTTTCTGTACAAAATCCATCGAAAACTTGTGTCTCATTGACATCATAAAAAAGGTAAGAGCGTTTTTAATTTTTTCTAACTCAACTTCAATGAATTTTAACCCATCATGCATAATTAATTTAAAAATATGTCAAACACAGTGGATATAAAATAGAATAACTCCAAAATAGGGATTAAGATGTCGAGTTAATTAATCAATTACTACTTTGTTGACTAATGCATTTTCAAATGTAAAAGAGTAATTATATTAACACCCCAATTTTTATTTCTTGCACCACATTTTAATTGTACTTAAGTTCTTAATTTTTACTTATTATATATAGTACTTATTTTTCTAACAATTTTTCATGCCAGTCTTGTTGTCAAACTTTCCATTAATTAACACATTTTGTATTTAATAATAATTTTATGTCCAAAAGTCCGTTGAAATGGTGTAAAACTATTTATTTACCAATCATATATATATATTTTAAAAAGAATAAATAAAAAGTGCGAAAAATATATTTTCCTCGTTTCAAAGCATGAAAATAAAATATTTTGATATAAATCATCATCAAGGATGAAATGTACTAATTAATTAAAGGTTGAAGATAAGAATTCGACGAAAAAAAGGAATTTTGTCATCATGTGAGAATATTGAGGTTGAAATAGAAGAATAAAGGGGTTTTGCCATCATGCGAGAATTGCATGCCATTCACTTATATAGTTGTATACTGTGTGATTTCTTTTGCATTTTTCTTCTTCTTCTTCTTTCTTCAATTGTGTAGTACGATTTTGGGAATATTTTTTCCAGCGAAGTGCTGTTAATGACGCTATTGAATAGTTGAAGGATAATATTACAGTTGTTGAATATTAGAAGGATGAGATCGTGTCACTTTTTTTTGCTACTTTATTGAATTGATCTCAATATTTTAATTGATATTTGAATTTTTGTTACTTTTAAAATTTTTGTCACTTTTTTAAATGTTTGTCACTTTTGAAATTTGTCACATTTTTTAATGCGTCACTATTTTTTATACTTTTATGAGTGATAAAGATAACTTTTTAATAAATACATAACAATTAACTTTAATAAATAAAAAAATGACTTTTTTTGCACAATATTTTTTACTTCTAAAATATTTTTTATATAATTTTTCAAAAGACCTATAACTTTCGGGGTATTTTTGTTAGTTTCCCTTTTTTATTGGCTCAGCCTCCCATGAACTAAGCCAATACAAGTCGAGGTCACGAGCTGATCAGCCCATTTGTCGCACCCAATGGCCTACTTATATACAATCAAATGTGGAAAAAATTCAAATATAAGTGATTAAGTATGACATATTTCAAAATTAAGAAACAAAGTTTAAAATTTCAAAAATTGGATTTCTTTTTAAATTTTATTTATTAATTAATTAATTAAACATATATTTTATTCATTAAATATATTAAGATCACAATTCTATACAATTCAGTCATAAATTATAAATTAACTGGTTACAAATTATTTATCGACAAAAAAAAATATTTTATAAATCACAAATTATTTCACGATCATGAATCAAAAATTTTATAAGTTACAATTTATTCATCGATCACGAATTTATCAAATTAATAGCTCACATATTATTCATTGGTTACAAATCATAAATTTTACAAATCATAGCTTGTTTAATGGTCACAAAATATCTAATTAATTAGTCACAAATTAATTTTTATCACAAATTATCAAATTACTGGTTACAATTTATTTCTCGATCATGAATAAAAAGTTTAATAAGTTACATAGATTATTCATCGATTACAAAATCAAAACTTTTATTGATAAAATTTTATTTATCAGCTATAAATCACAAATTTTATGAATAAAAAATTTGTTATTAGTAACGATTATTATTGTAATTTTTATTGTTTCAACTTAAATAAAAAAAAAAGAAAAAGAAATAATCAACTAAAATAATTGATTCTTTAATTTCACAATAAAACAAAAATGCATAGTAAGATGACTGTCAAAAAATTCTACAGCTGAATAAAATCGTAAACCCAAACAGTCAAGACCGGGAAAAGAAGAAGATTTAAGGGGACTTATAAACCAAATATATAGAACAAAATTTCATAATTAAGAACAAAAATTAATGAATTTTACATCCAAAAATTGTACTAAGAATTAAGAATCAAGCACCACGGAAATTCCTATTTAAAAGATTTTATCTTTAGGGGGCCAAGTGCAAACCGCAAATCAATTTAAGCCAATCATATTCGATTTTACAAGCAAAAATAGATTTTTGACAATCATAACAAAGAACAATAAAGTCACAATCTTTAATTCAAACTGAAACCAGCCCCGCCTCCCAAAAAAATAAAAATAAATAAATAAATAAATAGTGAGTCAAGGAGGCATCAATTCTTGTAAATGAACCCACGCAATTGCCATGATGTAATGCTCTAACAAAACTTGAAAAAAAAAGTGGGTTGGGAGAGGGGGGCGGGGTTCTTAAAACACCCTTCGATAAAAATTTCACAAACTTAAGAGCATGTTTGGTACGGTTTAAAATCTAATTAAAATCAATTTTTTGACCGTTATTTCACTATTTCAGCTATCATTTTTGAATTCTTATCTGACAGATGGAACCTACTTTATCTCCAACGATCAAAAAATCAATTAACAAAATTCCTACCAAACAAACACTATATTATTATAAACAATCAACCCTATTACGATAAATTTAGGAAGGATTAGTTTATGCAGAAATATGAAGAATCCAAAGCAAAATTAAATCCAATCTATAAAATGGGTTAACTAGGGACGGACTCTAGGGCGGAGGAGGATCCAAGAGCTTTCTTGCATCTTCAACGATTAGGAGAACTTTCCTCCACCGATGGCCATAGCTTAAATGCTTACCACCTATTTCAATATCCCCCACACCTTAAAGAAAAAAAGATGCCAACATGCTACAGAAAAAATGCAAGGTCACAAGTTATTGATCATATATTATTTATTGGTCACAAATATCAATCTATCATGGCACCAACCCCACCAAAATCTCAACCGTGGTACCAACAAAAAGCAATGCAATCTCACTGCCACCGCTACCACCAAACTACCATTTTCAACTTCAAAACCACCACCATTAATTCACCATCACAACCACCAACGAACAGCCATTTTCAACTACAAAGCCACCATTGCCATCGCCAGATCCACCACCAACGCCACCAACAAAAACCACAGCCATCAATAGATCCAAGAAAACCACTCCGTCGCTGTCGCCCCCACCAAGGCTCTCCCACCAACACCACAACCACAGCACCATCGCCACCTCCACCAACACAAACAAAAAATACACAGCCAAACCTGAGAAGGTGCATTGCCTGGAACCACTCCGTCGTTGCTATCACCATGGTGCCCCTTGCAATACCAACCATCCACCACAACCACGGCAACACCGCCACCAGCACCATCAACACCAACACCAACACAAAAACAATAGCCAAACCTAATTTCTAGTGCGCTCGAGAAAGCGCACCGCCACCATCACCATGGTGTCGCCACCAACACCAACCATAATATCCCTAACCCCAAGCCATTGGATTTGCAGCAAATAGAGAGACGATGGTTGGAGCTTGTGGTGTTAGATCTGTAGTAAATAGAGAGAAGCCTCTTTGATGACGTCGCGCGGCGTACATTGCTGCTCCCTTTTCTACCCATCTTCGCCAATGGTTGTAACGTAGAGTGAATGAGAGGTAGAGTAGAGAGAGATTGAGGAGTAGCAAAATGAATATGAATATTAGGATTTAAAATGTTGGGTATATAATTAATTGAATTTTATAATATTATTATTTAATATTAAAATTTGTATTATCATCTGATTTTTGTATAAATAATAAACTATAATTCTTAATTTTGAAATACAATCTTTAAAAGTAAGTATGTATGTAATTTCCACGTCAAATATTGCCAAATCACCTCTCTCTCATTTTGACGCCAGATCCGAAACATCCCTCCTGTTAGCGAAGCAGGCCTAGTTATTTTGGTTCTTTGGTACTCTTTCCCTGAAATCTGATTTACAAATAATTATTTTCGATCTATCAATATTAACAGTATTTACCCAATTAAATAATTATTCAAAACACACACGTGCCTTCCAACAGTGTTGAACTAGCATACATAAATTTTGAAAATAGTGGGGAAGATGCACCACTTAGGTCGCATACGCATTAGTTCCAAAATGTGCATTCTATACGGATGTTGTTGTTGTTTGAATTGTTGATGTAAGATCATTAAAAGTTGATTAAAAGTGAGAGATCTTATCAAATGATCCGATTGTTGGCCATATTTAATCTCAATCATTAAATAACAATCATCGCATCAATTGTTTAGTATAAACATTTAACTATATGTTCTCTCTTCCCTACGCCTCTAGTTTGAAATTTTGCCCACAAATTTCATTTCTAAAAAAGTTATATTCTCAATCTGCATTTATCAAGCTTTGGGTTTCTTCTACCTTCAGCTGATTGGGTAAAAGCAAATAAATTCAACACCTAAATTTCATATTTTGGGCTATTTGAGGCGTTAAAATATAAGAAAATAAAATTCTCTTGGAATGGACAACAGCCAAATTAAGTCGTTGCTCATTCTACATCACAGCTGCCACTTTTAGACGATGTAACTTCAAAAATCCTCACACTATACGCATTCAATATAACAAGTCTGGATCCTGTATAGAAAATTAAAGAGATGTAGCTTTGAAAGTATTCCCCAAAAGATTTGAGATATATATTTCCCGAAATTCAGCTGTAAACGATCAAAGAAAGAGATAGAGAGCGAACAAGAACTGACTGCTAAACCAAGACAATGAATGAAATTTGTGATAGAAAAAATAGTTTCTCATAAATCTCTGGTTTCTTTCTGCATGATCAAATCACGCAAACAAATGTAGCACAATCTTGGAATCAAGCGCACTTACAGATGAGCAGTACTTCAAAGAAGCAAAATTGAAGTTAAACTCAAATCACAAACCAAAACGAATTCAATCTACAACCAGAAACAAAATTCAATCCAGACTCAAACTCAAGCACAATATACAAAGCATAAAACCCATCCACTTACTGTTTCCATATAGAAATATAACTCTACATTACGGCCATTATACCCAAAATGGTACAGGTATAAAAATATCATAGTCCTAAAAGAATTGAAGGCCTTAAATCATAAAAGAATATATATCAGTCTACAATTTCCCTTAGCATACTCAAATTCACTTTTCCAAATTAACCATTTCCATTGGCCTGTTCACAGGACCTTGTCTGCTTTGACCTGAATAATGGGCATTCGAGTACCTTCCTCTGCCCATCTTCTCCTCTCTTCCAGCTGCTTGGTTTTTCGAAAAATGCTTCTGTTTTGAAGTATTGTGATTCTTTGATGTGTCGGCTTCGTAAGGCAATGGCTGAAGCCCTTGTAGATCAGATTCAGGGACATATCCGATGGGCTGTTTAGATTCGTCCATTTTCCTAAAGGTAATCAATATCCTGGCCGTAAAACATTCAAGAATCAGCAGATTATCGAGAAATATAACTGAGGGAAGTATGAAGAACACAACGTATTTGGATTAGTACCTTCTTGTCGGAACAGCCGGAACACAGTGCTTAGCCACGTCAGCTCCATTTCCATTTAAGACAAGAACAGATCTGGCAAAAGATTTGGCAACTTAATAACTTATAAGAGGATGATTTCTAGGGTAGAAACCAAAAAAATAAAAATAAAAAAATACAGAAAAGGAAAGAAAAGAAAAAAAACTTGAATTTTCATGTTTATCTAATATAATCTTGAAGCACTAAAGACTCACCCGACTGGCAGAAAAATTGCAAAACCACCAGCGCAGTCCCCAGGACCCTCTGTTTTCAAGTTTGATCCGAAAAGTATATCACACTCACTAAGGAATGAGATGGTACAAAAAGGTCGAACGAAATCATGGTTCTCAATGTGAGGCAGTATACAATCTCCCTCTTCATAAATGTTGACGATACAGCTATCAGGAACACAAGATGGAGGTAGAACATGCCACAAAATGAGCCTTTTGATCATAACCTTAAAAAGTTGAGGTAAAGGATCAACCATTTCATTCTTGAGGATGCCGGGTGTATTGCCATTTTTATCCTGCCATTAAAAAAATGTTGAACTTAAGGCTATTGATATCTAAACATTTCTACTAACAATAGTGATGTGGTGAACCAGTGAAAGATGTACATCCAAAGTGGCAAAGAACGATGCAAAGAGAAACTTACTACTGCATTATTGTAACAGCAACCAAATTGAAGAGTGATGCATCCATTTCCCCCCATCCACTTCTGTGATGCAGAGTAGGTGTGCTCTGAAATTAAAACTAGACCAGGTAAACATACATAGGCCCATAATAACTTTAAGAAATTGCATGTCACAACAACCTTCAATAAAGCAATGAAATTAGATATGAAGATAAGGGGCATCCAAAATCATATACAAATGGCCACTAGTAACCTTTATATCTCAATGTTGTAAAGAGAAGCATGAAGGCTGAAAGTCTAAGGAATAATAGAGTGCAAAAAATATTGACATGAGAGAACCAAATTAATTGAAGTGGTAACCAGACAGAGTTTTAAAAACCACAAGGAAAGTTGCCTATCTGCAAACCAGGCAAGATGATGTAGATGTATAATGAAACCACTGGAATGAGATTTAAGCCCCTTTTTCATAAAAAATAAAAAAAAATAAAAAATAAAATTTGCTAAGCCCCTATTTTTCTCCCTTTACACAAAACTCTTTTAATTCTCGTATTCCAACCACACAATCACACAATAAAATATTTTGCACATAATTCCAAAACTTTTCCTACTTTTAAACCACACATTCTCCAAAAAAATCACTATTCAAAACATCATTTTTTTCAAAATATTGGAGCTGATTTATGAAATAATTTATCAAAACAGTCGAACAACTTCCTAACTGTGCATGCCTGTAAATTACAAAAACCTCCCTAAACTAAAAGGTTAATTGCATTCAAGATTGGCTTAAAAATTAATAAAGCAGAGAATGATACCAAAGAGTTGATGGAAGTATTCTGTGTTTCCAGTATCAAAAGGGCAAAATAATAACTCATTAATCATAGATCATCAGAAAATCCAAAACTCAAACTGCTATCGCCATGAAAAAACAGAAAATGACAAATGGCCCTGACTCAGCAGTTAACCATGACTGTTGTAGGGTATAGATAAACTTCAACATTGACAGTTGTCAAATTTTCTTTTCAAGATCTACGTAGCATTGCTCCCTTTTACCCACTTAGACAAATTTCCATTAATGACCCCTTATCTGAGATATGCAGAAGTCATTATTCATATTGATAACTAGAGGATAGATATATCGAACAATAATGTAGCTAAAAAACATGCAGTTTATTGGTAATTCACCTTTCAGCTTCCCGTTCCTCCCCATCTCTTGAAGCTCCTCAACATACTTAACAATCCTGCTTTGTTCTGCAGAACTGAAGACACGTGTATGTAACTCCAGGCCATCTAGAATGTTCACGAATTTCCCATTAATTCTTTCAAAACATATAAAATTCTTCTTCCTCCTCACGTAGCGGAAACGAATGTGCTCTCTTTGCTCCCTTGATAACCCCGGATTTGTCTTAGCTTCCTCCAGTGTCATTCCCTCTTGCACACTAACAAACGTACTACTCCCGTTCTCTTCCCCTGTGTCCAACTCATCCTCTTGAGCCATATCAGCCCAGGACATTTTCACTTTTGAGCTTGCAAGAGGTGCTAACAAGTTCGATGATTCACTATTTGACGAGGCATCAGCAGCTGGCTCTGACAACCTATCTGCCTCATCTTTCCAGCTTCCCAATGAATTTTTATCTGTGTTATCATTATGATTCACACTATCTTTCCAACTCTTAACTGAACAATCACAATCCTCTTTACTTCTAGTCAGATCCATGATAGACGAAACTGCAAACTTCCCTTCTTTTTTACCAGGTTCTACTTCACCATCAGTTTCTACAAAAGCCAAAGAAAGACCAAACTGAATAACACATTAGAATTTCATGAAAACCATAAAAAGTAAATCCTCAAAGGCAGCATGATATACAAGATTAAAAACCATTCTTTTCTCCAAGTTCAGTTACTGTAAATTCATAGTCTTGAAAAGGTAACACTTTTTCAGTAACTATACTAAAGAAAACTTAATTAAACATTTAGAACATCCTCCAGGCATACTGGAATAAAAAACCCACAAAAAATTAAGTGGAAGAAACATTCCAGGGATCAAACACTCCAATTATACTGGACACAAACGAAAAAACAGATATTCATTTTTAAATAAGGCTGCAAGATTTCGAAAAGGGTAATCTCATAGTCTATAAGAACAGCATAGATATATTGTACCTGGGTTGAGGGATCGGACACGATCAGAAAGTATTTCAGCACAGCTATTACAGAATCCACGGGAGAGAAACGGCAGCCAATTGGACAAGAACTCGGAAGCAATTCGAAGTTCTTCGGCGCTGTAATCCTTAAGGAACGTATTTTTCTCACTAGAATTCTGGCTGTCGCCCATGTTAGTCAGAGTACCGAAATCGACAAAGATAAAAACAGTTACAAATCGGAACTCACAAGAAAAGAGATTAATTAAGAGCAAAAATATCGATTCAGGTGCGGATTTGTGAGAGGATGACAATAAATTTGTAGACCAAAACTCCTAATTTGAGGCCGATTTTGAATTACTTCCACACTAAGTTAGAAGGAAAAGTTAACATTGACTCACTTGGACTCAAATCAGGAATATTTCTTCATCCTAGTACGGTATGGTTTTGGTACTGTTGCGTCAAGTTTAACACAGTGCTACAGTATTGCAATTTCAATCTAGGCTAAATTAAAAGTTAAATTAAACGAGTCATTTAATTTTAATTATCATTTAACGTCACATTAGCGTTCCTTAAACTTGAAATGTAATCTAATGGGGCCAAATAGAATTGCTCTTTCGCGTTGACGATCATTATTTGGTAAAAACTATATTTTCAATAATAATTTTTAGAAGAATGTGTCGTTAAAAAGTATGAAAAATTTGAGTTTACGTGCAGAATGTTTTATTGTGTGAATATTTAATTGAAAATTAGCATACAAAAAAGAGTTTGTAAATAATGGTTGTCAAACAAGAGGTG